GAGAGAGAGACAGCGTGAGCAGGGGAGGGTCAGAGAGAGAGGGAGACACAGAATCCGAAACAGGCTCCAGGCTCTGAGCTGGCTGTCAGCACAGAGGCCGACGCGGGGCTCGAACCCACGAACCGTGAGATCATGACCTGAGTTGAAGTCAGACGCTTAACCAGCTGAGCCACCCAGGCGGCCCTGTCTCTTTCTCTTCTTATAAGGACACCAGTCCTATTGGATTAGGGCCTTACGCTTATGACCTCATTTAACTTTAATTACTTTAAAAATTTATATATTTTTAAATCCTCAAAACAACCCTCTGAGGTTGGTCATATCATCATCCATGTGCACATGAAGAAACCAGGGACACATAGAGGCTGAACATCGTTCTCAAGGTCATACAGCTAGAAAATGGTGGCTCTGGGTCTGCATGTGGACAGTCTGGCTTCCGAGTCTGCATTCTTTTTCTTTTTAAGAGTCCTTTTTGTTTTTGGAGGGCGCCTGGGTGGCTCAGTTGGTTGAGCAACTGGCTTTGACTCAGGTCATGACCTCATGGTTTGTGAGTTTGAGGCCCACATAGGGCTCGCTGCTGTCAGTGCAGAGTCTACTTCAGGGCTTTAGATTGTCTGTCCCCCTCTCTTTCTGTCCCACCACTACTCACACTCTCTCTTTAAAAAAAAAAAAAAAATTTTTTTTTAAATTAGGCTCCATGCCCAACATGGGGCTCGAACTCACAACCCTGAGATCAAGAGTGGCATGCTTCCCTGACTGAGCCAGCCAGGTACCCCCAGAGTCTGTATTCTGGTTCTGATATGCTGCCTCCTTTCATGGGACAATGACAAGTTTTTGGACCAGCATGCAGGACTGGAAATGTTGCTGTGGCCATTTTTCAGAAACTACAATCTGCTGAAATCTGTGCTCTGATTTAACAAAAAAAGAAAAGGATTTAAAAAACCTCCAGTCCAATAAACAAAACCCCCATCTATATATTCATCCAGCTGCACATTTAGGAGTGTGTGTGTGTGTGTGTGTGTGTGTGCGTGTATGCGCGTGTGCCCGCTTTAATTACTTCCTTGAAGGCCCTATCTCTAAATGCAGCCACACTTGGGGGTTAGAGCTTCCATATACCAAGTTTGGGGGGGATACATTTCAGTCCATAACATCTAACTTCATGAGACTGATGCGCCACACACACAGCTGGAGGAAGGCACATGGAGTGACTTGAACTTGATCATAGGGGTAATGGTTGGGGGGCTGGGGGGGGACAGGAAGGAGCTGCCATCCATCCTTGCTTGTGTAAAGATGTCCTTGGTAGTGGCAGGAGAGGAAAAAGAGCACGTGGGTAGATCCTTTTTTTTTTTTTAAAGGTCATGATATTTTGCAGCCCCTCCTGTCAAAAGACGGAGCCCCTTCCCTCTACCCCTGATCAGGGCTTGGCCGTGTGACTTGGTTTGGTTGAGGGGACAGTAGAAACATGACAAAGCAGAGGCATAAAACGTGTTTCTGCCCTGGGGGCTTGGCTTCTCTTGCTCCTTTTGGAGCCCAGAGGCCAAGTGAAGAAATCTGACCTGTTTGATAATGAGATTACGGTGGCCCCATGGCCCGCCATCACCCCAGCCAAACACCAGACACTGGAGTGGTGCCATCTGGGACCCAGACCACCCCACCCAGCTCCCAGCCCACCTGCACGCTGACGGCAGCCACATAGTGAACCCAGGGACACCCCACAGAAGAACCACTCACTTAGGCCAGCCCCCAAATATAGTACTACTAGTAGTACTAATTGCATTAAACTACGTAGTTTTGAGGTGGTTTGTTACATGTTACTAAAGACCAATGAGAAGGGACTCATGATTGTCGCGGCTTTCTACAGGGTAGTCTTCTCTAGATGCCGCTGTCTGTACCCCGTCAGCCTTCTCAGAGTTACAGAGAAATGGTCCTTGCCGCCAGTCTTGCTAGTAAAAGTTTTTTTTAACCTTTTAAAAGTATCAGCATGATGAGTAGCAGGTGAAAATACCTTAAATTGATACCCCACAAAAATGAGATGTTAACTCTATTAGCTCAGTCCCTAAAATTAGCCACAAACTGGCTACAGGGGAATTGAGAACATGTTTTAAAGGGTTGACTATGTTAAACATGTAAAAACTGACCTATCTTGGGACGCCTGGGTGGCTCCATCGGTTAAGCATCCCACTTCGGCTCAGGTCATGATCTCGTGGTTCAAGTGTTCAAGCCCCACGTTGGGCTCTGTGCTGACAGCTCAGAGCCTGAAGCCTGCGTCAGATTCGGTCTTCTTGTCTCTGCCCCTCCTCCACTCATGATCTCTCTCTCTTTCTCAAAAACAAATAAAAACATTAAAAAAACAACAACCCTGACCTATCTTGAATATTCTTGAATATTCCACTGGAAGGAGCTGGTGAAACACTTAGGTTTTACTTGCAAAGCAATTCCCTTTTGAAAAATGGCACCATCTTCTAAGCTGTAGCTACAGTCTTGGTGGTAGAGATGGTCCCAAGCAGGAGACTGGCAGGGAGAGCGATGGATGCAGGGAGGGAAGCTCCGGCGCCCTCCCAGCCTGATCTGGCTATCTGCTGTCCCCTAGTGCCGATTCTTTGGCATTGCAGGAGGGTGCCGCCCTTGATCCAGGATCCAGGTTCTGTGGCTGATCCATCTCAGGGTCAGGGTCTGAGCCCCAGACCCCATGTGGCAGTTGAGGAGTCCTCCCATCCTCTCCCAAGGCTACACATTCACTGTCACTCCACAAGGTATCTAGTGGCAGGAAAACAGGAATCATTAGCCACCACCACCCCTTCTGGGGAAATTTTATTTTGGGGTCCATTCACAACATATTAGATACACTGAAGGTCACTGGCATCCTAACCTAAATGGGAGTTCCATATAATCATATAAGAACTGACTTGCATTGTAGCTGAGTTTGGAGGCTTGTTTTTGGTGGTCAGATACATATAACACAAAATTTACTGGGGTGTCTGGCTGGCTCAGTCGGTAGAACATGTGATTCTGTTTTCTTTTTTAATGTTTATTTATTTATTGGGAGAGAAAGAGAGAGAGACAGAGATTGTGGAGGAGGGGCAGAGAGAGGAGAGAGAATCCCAAGCAGGCTCCACACTGCCAGTGCAGATCTCATGAACATGAGATCATGACCTGAGTCAAAGTCAGACACTTAACCTACTGAGCCCCAGGTGCCCCAAGAGAGAGACAATCTTAAGCAGTCTCCACGTTCAGTAAGGAGCCCAATGCAGGGTTCAATGCCATGACCTTGGGATCATGACTAGAGCAGAAATCAAGAGCTGGATGCTCAACCGACTGAGCCACCCAGGCACCCCAACTGATTTATTTTGATTTATTGATTTATTGATTTTTATGTTTTTTAATGTTTATTTTTGAGAGAGAGATGACAGCACGAGCAGGGATGGGGCAGAGGGGGGGAGACACAGAATCCGAAGCAGGCCCCAGACTCTGAGCTGTCAACACAGAGCCTGACTCGGGGCTTGAGCCCACAAACCACGAGATCATGACCTGAGCCGAAGTCCGATGCTTAACTGGTTGAGCCACCCAGATGCCAAGATTTTATTTTTAAGTAATCTCTACACCCAACATGGGTCTTGAACTTACAACTCCAAGGTCAAGAGTCCTGTGCTCTATGACTGAGCCAGCCAGGCACCTCTAGGCTACTGATTCTTTTAAACATACCTGTATAGTATAACTATTTTTCTAAATTATAAAAGGATGACATGGTATTATAGGCAAGTTGAAAAGTTTAGATAATTAAAAAGGAGAATAATCACACTCCCTATTTCCACCACCTTGAGATAACTACGGTTAAAATATTTAGGTGTCTTTTTTACCCCCCAATCCTTTTTTTCTAGGAAAAGTTACCAGCCAACTTACCTCAACCAACATATACAATATATACAAGATATATATTTTATAAGATGTATTTTACTTACAAAATTGGGATCCCACTTTGCTTTCAGTTAAAAAATTTTTTAAATGTTTTATTTATTTCTGAGAGAGAGAGAGACAGCATGAGCAGGGGAGAGTCATAGAGAGAGGGAGATACAGAATCCGAAGTAGGCTCTGGGCTCCGAGCTGTCAGCACAGAGCCCAACACGGGGCTCGAACTCACAAACTGTGAGATCATGACCTGAGCTGCAGTCAGATGCTTAACCGACTGAACCACCCAGGCACCCCACTTTCAGTTTTAAATTTTGCCTTTGTTTACTTACTAAATTGATACTTTTAGCTATTTCCTATATCCTTACATATAATTCAACAGCTGCATGCATTTAAATATAAATTTAAAGTTAACATAACCTAAATGTAACTTTAAGGGGCGCCTGGGTGGCTCAGTCAGTTAAGTGTCCGACTTCAGTTCAAGTCCTGATCTTGTGCTTTGTGAGTTCGAGTCCCATATCCAGGTCTGTGCTATGTGTGCCGAGCCTGCTTCAGATCCTCTGTCCCTCTCTCTGCTCACCCCCGTCTCAAAAATAAACATTTAAAAGTAATAAAAAATAAGTAAAATGCAACTTTAAATTTACTAGCTGCGGGGCACCTGGGTGCCTCAGTGGGTTAAGCAGCCGACTTCTGCTCAGGTCATGATCTCATGGTTCGTGAGTTCAAGCCCCGTGTCGGCCTCTGTGCTGACAGCTCAGAGCCTGGAGCCTGCTTCAAATTCTGTGTCTCCCTCTCTCTCTGCCCCTCCCCAGCTTGTGCTCTGTCTCTCTCTTCCTCAAAATAAATAAACGTTAACAAAAATTTTTTTAAACTTACTAGCTACATTCCCATCATATAGACGGGAATAAATAAAGCATCGTGCTTTATTTAGCCAGATGTATCTCTTAGAATAATTTTACTCAGTTGTCACTAAGTGTAGCTGCAGTAATGTGTTCTAACATCTCAGTGGTGCATAACCATGCCTGTCACACATTTCCTTCACAGTTTGGTTGTGGCTTGGCTCCTTTTGGCTGTGGGTCGGCTGTGGCTGTGATTCTTCTTCCTTCTAGAATACAAGTGAAGGAACAACCCTCACCAGGGACATGCCAGTCTTTTGGCAGAGGACAGGAGCTGGTGACAGGTGAAAATGAGCGATGGCTCTTAAAGTCTCGGCCACAGGTCATGTCACATACACCCCATCAGGAGTTCAAGGCCAAAGTCAGTGGGGCTGAGCCACACAGGCACCCCTCATGTTTCTTTTTTTTTTTTTTAATGTTTTTTTATTTATTTCTAGAGAGAGAGAGAGAGAGACAGCGTGAGCAGGGGAGGGTCAGAGAGAGAGGGAGACACAGACTCTGAAACAGGCTCCAGGCTCTGAGCTGGCAGTCAGCACAGAGCCCGACGCGGGGCTCGAACCCACGAACCGCGAGATCATGACCTAAGCGAAAGTCGGACGCTTAACCGACTAAGCCACCCAGGCGCCCCACCCCTCATGTTTCTAAAAGTCAAATAATTCAGGGGGTGGGGCTGTGTGGCTCAGTGGGTAGAACATGGAACTCTTGATCTCAGGCCCCACGTGAGTTTCAGCCCCACATTGGGCATCGAGACTATTTAAAAATTTTTTTTTTTCTTAAAAGTCAAATAATTCATTAAGGCTTAGAAAAAACAAAACCTCCCAAACAGCAGCTTCCGCCAAATTTCCACCCTGCAACCAACTGAAAAAGGATTGATTTGTCCCCATACTCTGTGCCAAGAACTATACTAAATAATTTACCCGAGTTATTTCAGCTTAATCCTCACAACGACCACAGGAGATAAATATTACATTTATCTCGCTGATGGAGACAAATTTAGGCTGAAGGAGCAATTTCTTTGTCTTAGAGGCCGCTTGCCAGCAGGGGGCAGATCTGCGACTGGAACCCAGGTTAACAGACGCCAGAAACTGAGGGGCGGACCGTGTGCATCAGCGGCTCTCACAGTCCAGTCCTCACGGACAGCAGCCGCCTCGCCAGGGAACTTGTTAGAAACGTACGTTCTCAAGCCCGCCTCGGCTCTGCTGGCTCAGAAATTCTGGGGTCGCAGTCAGTAAAGAGGTGACTCTGACGGCCACCACAGACTGACACCTGGCTCCACTAGCCAGAGTAGTCCCCTCCTGGTGTCTGGCCGGTCACCTTGCCCTGCTGGGTTGGGGAACGCCCATGGAGATGTTCTCAGAGCGTCCCTCCCGGCTTCCCTTCCTGTCCCTGCCCACAGACTCCCGTGCCACCAGCCCGCAGGACAGTTTGGCTCAAGGGCCTGAGTCTCTTGGTCACAGCGAGTGGGGGCCCCTGGTCTGCAGCTGGGGAGCTGAACACGTGTTGGAGAATCTAGGGTCAGAAGGAGGAGGAGGAACGTGAGTCAGAGGAGGGAAGGCCCCAAGTCACAAGGGGGCTTCTGCACTGGAAGGGGGGATTCTGGGATCTGAAGATGTAGAGAAAGGGTTCCAGGTCATGGGGAGGTGGGAGCACCCAGGGTCGGATGGGATTCCCTCCCTCCCCCCAAAGACTGTCCCTCCAAGGGAAGTTTCTGGGCAAGTCTGTTGTGTCCTAAGGCGAGCACCTTGGAAATAACACTGGGCCCGGTGACCTCCCTGCACCTCGCAGCCTGAAGCCTGGTGTCGTCCCCTGCTCCTCTGTGCTCCCACATCTGTGGGCGCCTGGATGTCTGCTGAGGTCCCCTGTTGGGTGTGATCATGACCTGAGCTGAAGTCAGACTGAGCCACCCAGGCTGAGCCACCCAGGCGCCCCTCATGAGAGTCTATTAAAAACATTCCTTTGGAGCCAGACTTAATGAGCCCCTGGCCTTCCATGACGGTCCCCAGCAGCTGTTCCGCCCACGCCCACGTCCCCCACATCCACCTCCAGCCAGACTGCCCTGATCGCCCCGGGTCCAGGTGAGGGCGCTGCTCCTGTCTCGCCCCTTTGAGGGGGTGAGCGTGGCACCTGAGGCTTGGGGACAGGGATGCTTGCTCAGGCAGGGCTCTCCAGCCTTAACTCGGCCCAGAGTCGCCTGGCGTCTGGTCTGGAACCAGCAGGTGGGGTCTTTGTACTTTCCCTCTAGGAAATACATGGAAAAATATCAAGCCTGTGAGTGTCAGCAATACCCAAATCAAGTTCAGCATCTCCAGCATATGGAGCTCCATCTACCTGCTTAGTTTTGGCCCCCAGCCCCCACTCTGATGGGTTTCTCTCAGCCCTTCCTCTCCCACTCCGTGCACCCTGCTACAGCACCCCAGGCTGAGGGTCCTCGGGCAATAACCCACCCGTGGCTGCAGGCCTCCCTTTGCCGGGCTATCGAATCCTTGAGGGTGGCCTGCTTTGGGCTCAGGCTTCTGCGTGATGCTGCCCTAGGCCCATCATCCTGGGGGCACCAGGCCAATGACATTCCTCTCTCTCTTTCTCTCTCTTTTTTAAGTAGGCTTCACACCCAGAGGGTGGAGCCCAACACGGAGCTTGAACTCACAACCCTGGAATCAAGAGCTGAGATCAAGAATTGAATACTTAACAGGGGGGAGAGGGGGATGGGCATGGAGGAGGACACTTGTGGGGATGAGCACTGAGTGTTATGTGGAAACTAATTTGACAATAAACTATTTGTAAAAAAAATAATAATAATAAAGTGAGAAATTAAAAAAAAAAAAGAATTGAATACTTAAAAGAGTGAGCCACGCAGGCGCCCCCATGGCATTCCTCTCCTNAATAATAATAAAGTGAGAAATTAAAAAAAAAAAAGAATTGAATACTTAAAAGAGTGAGCCACGCAGGCGCCCCCATGGCATTCCTCTCCTGGTCCCGCCCCCCCCCCCCCCCCCCGGCACTGCTAGGTCACGGGAGATGGACCCCTCTACCCGCACACCCACCACCCTCCCTCTCCTCTCCTCCCTTTGCCTGTTACTCCCTCTTACCCTTTAACTGGGGGAGGGGAACTCACCCCTCTTCTAGCTATTACCGCGCCCCTTTTTCCTTTTACTTGCTCAGCAAACCCTCCGAGTTCTCCCAAGAAGGACCTTTAGGGGAAAAGGGGCCCTTCCCAAGCGGGGTTCTGGGGGTGGGGTGGAAAGGCCGAGGTGACAGGCAGTTTGAAGGCTGAATCAGCGGGACCTGGTGGATGGATGGTGAGAACAGGGTAAAGTCGAAGCCCCGTGTAGCCCGATAACAGGCCCGCTCACCGGAGCTGGAGACGTGAAGAAGCTGTTGATGTGGACAGTGGTAAGGTGGCCAGCCTGTGCGCATGTCCAGGAGGCCGTTTGGAAATGCAGGGCTGGAGAGAAGGCAGGGCTGGGTAGGGAGAGCAGAGCCTGGAGCTGTTCACGGAGGATCCGGGAAGCCTTGGTGAGGGCCACTCCCAGGGAGGGAGAGCGTGAGTGTACAGACGGACGGCCGGGGGTCAGGTCGCAGCTTGGAGACCGGGGTCTGAGGTGGAAGAGGGCTGGGAAATGTTATGAATAGCTGTTGGGGACCAGCAGCCCAGTGGAACATTCGTTTGGAATCCCGGGCAGATTCGCCACCGGCAGCGGAGAGCCTGACGCGGGGCTCGAACTCACGAAACTTGAGATCATGACCTGAGCTGAAGTCAGACACTTCACCGACTGAGCCACCCAGGCATCCCTAACCTTAACTATGTCTTAAAGACCTTATCTCCAAATACAGTAGCACTAACTGGGGGTTAGGACTTCAACTTCATTATGAATTTTGCAGGAATGTAACTTGGAGTGTCTGCATATAGTTGGGGAGACAAAATATACAGGCTGAAGTAATTAATTGTTGAACTGTGTGCTATAGATGAACAAGAAGATAAGACAGGATGCACGAAGTGACTATATGTACATGGGGATGCTGAGTAAAATACAGTAAAATAGGGGCGCCTGGGTGGCTCAGTCAGTTAAGCGTCTGACTTTGGCTCAGGTCATGATCTCACAATTCATGGGTTCGAGTCCCACGTTGAGCTCTGTGCTGACAGCTCAGAGCCTGGAGCCTGCTTCAGGATCTGTGTCTCCCTCTCTCTCTGCCCCTCCCCAGTTCATGCTCTCTCTCTCTTAAAAATAAACATTAAAAAAAATACAGTAAAATTTTTTTTTAATACCTAGCCAGGTTTAAACTCAAAGAGAGAAACTCCCAGGCACCAGGAATGCAGAGGGACATAAAGCCAGTGAAGTGAGTAGGAGGAGAAGTAGAAACGGCTCATGGAGATTAGGAGACAGATGTTGGCCTTCAAAGCCAAGGGCAGGGGTTCGGAAGTTACACAGAAAGCCTGGAAACCATCATAACCAATGAATCTCAGGGGCTTGAGCGGCGAAAGCAAAGCTGTAGGTTGGCTTCCACGACTCAGGAATGAGGGACTCCCGTGGAAAGTAACCCCATGAAGTGGAGGTCACAAAGGGTCAAAGTCAAGGAAAGCAGAACAGGGTAAAAATGGCCCTTATCAGTCGCCTGTCCCTCTTTTAACCAATTTCCTTGAAAGTTCCACTCAGCAACTTCTACTCAGTGGCATCTGCTCTTTGGGAAGCTTGGTCTTTTAGGCGGACACCTGTTGTGTGAACGGTCGCTTGGGGGAGCAGACAGTAAGGTCCGTCGGTGAAGAAAGGAGGGGAAGAGACTGGACATCAGGCGGGCAGTCTATCAGGCCCCCACCAAAATCTCCTCTGCCCGCATGGCCCCGCCTCTACCTATCAGCCAGGGTGATTGTGTGCTTAAATTTTAAGACAATACATGTACATAGTGAAAAAAAAATCTAGCAGTCTGTCTGATATCCTAGCTTAAAAAATGTCTTAAAAGGCCTGGGTGGCTCAGTCGGTTGAGCATCTGACTTCGGCTCAGGTCATGATGTCAAAGTTCGTGTGTTTAAGCCCCACATCTGGCTCTGTGCTGACAGCGCAGAGCCTCCTTCGGATCCCCTGTCTTCTTCTCTCTCTGCCCTGTTTGCTTGTTCTTTCTCTCTCTCAAAAACAAATAAACTTTTTTTTTTAATATTTTTATTTATTTCTAGGAGAGAGAGAGAGAGAGAGACAGCGTGAGCAGGGGAGGGTCAGAGAGAGGGAGATACAGACTCTGAAACAGGCTCCAGGCTCTGAGCTGGCTGTCAGCACAGAGCCCGACGCGGGGCTCGAACCCACGAACCGCGAGATCATGACCTAAGCGAAAGTCGGACGCTTAACCGACTAAGCCACCCAGGCGCCCCAAAAACAAACTTTTAAAAAAATGTCTCCTTCTCACCCCTACTCCTCACTCCCTCAGCCCAGAAATGATCTGGATTTTCAGCGTGTGGACCAGACCATATCATTTCCCTACTGAAAAGCCCCCTGCGGGTCTCAGACTGCCCTCAGGCCCCGCCCTCCCTCTGCTCACGTCACCCTCCTCCTGGCTCACAGAGGCTGGTTCTCTGGCTTCCCGTCAGTCCCTGGAGATGCTGTCCTGAGGCCTCTCTCCTTGCTGTTCTCTCTGCCGGGAACACCCTTCAGGGCTCAGTCCATTTCTACTTGGTTCACAGATAGGACTTTCTCTTTCGGCTCAACCCTGTAACCCTGTGCAAGTATCCACGTCCCCCTCCCTCCAGGCCTGGAGCCGGCCTCCTGGGCAGCTAGACTGGCTCTACTGAGGATCACCCTGGCTGACAGGTCAGCCCAGGGCACTGTGGGAAGGCAGGGGTTGGGGAGGGGGCCTGATCTGCATGTGAATGAGTTTAGGAGCTGAGGAATCATTCAGTCACTCAATATGTATCAGGCTTCGCCTCCCATGACCTGGTGTGGGGAAGGCACAAGAGAATGAGATGGTGCGGCACATTCTTCTGGAACTTCCAGACTCGAGTGAGGACAGAGACAACAAGCATGAAAACAAACAAAATCCTTCCAGACTGGGGTAAGTCTATGAAGGGCCTACACAGGGGATGCAGAAGATGGTTTTAGGGATGGAGGGGGGGGGCATGTCAGAATGTGTGGTCAGGAAAGCCATCTCAGAGCCCCCAAGGATGAGAAGGTGCCAAGCAAGGAACCAGGAGAAAGGAGTTTCGCAGCACATGCAAAGGTCCTGAGGTGGCAGGGAGCGGGCTGGCAGAGCAAAGGGAAGGAGAAGGGGAGCAGAAGTGGGCAAGGCTGGGCTTCAGGCTGCGCTAAACTTGGGTTTATTGCAAGATCCTTGGAGGATTTTCATCAGGCAGTGCTGTGACCTGCTCTGATTCATGTGGGAGCTGGCTGTGGGACCTGGGTTCTGTGAGACCGTTGAGTGGTTTGTGTCATTTTCTGCTTGCAGCACTACCTTGGGAGAGCTTTGTGGGAGTTACATTTCCTCGCCAATTTGGTTAAACCAACAGCA